TGTCTGTTCATGTTCTACAGTAAGATGCCAATCTCCCATTCCTAAGAAGCGTACAGGGTTTTTTTTGGCAGTGAGTGAACTGCATTTTTTCATGGTTTGGCTGTAAAAATGATTGTTCTTATTTTTATGTTGACTGATTAGGTGAAGGGCAGATACAGACAATCTTGTTATTTAAAAAAAGCCCACCTCTTTCTTCAGCTGATTGGGTGGAGAGAAGGTTTTGTTCCCATAGCAACATTTTGCATCCAAACCTACAGAAATGAGGCTGGCTAGAGGCATTTCAAATATGCTGCATTTAAAGAGCGCGTTGTGCTCTACAATGTGTTTTCACTTTTGCATCTGACAGAATTATTCAGTAAACATCAGAGAAAGAAAAAGAAAAATCTTTGCATCTCCATATGTGAAACTGGAGCCTGCTGATACTAGGTGTGCTACAGAGCATGGCTTGAACCTCTCTTGTAGAATGCTTTGTACTATCAGTTATCTGAACAGACACCACAACTTTAAGTAAAAACCAGTCCAAAGATCGGATGTCACTTTTGTAGAAGTTCTTTTGCTACCTTCAGTGGAGACAACATCACCAAACATGATGTTTGGAGGGAACTGGCTAGTAGGCTGAGAAAGAGTAAAACACATGCGGGAAGTTGTACATCAAGAGGAGTGGAGCAGCACTAGGGGAGGAGCTGTTGGATTCTTGCAGAAGTGGCAGATAGGATGAAGGAAAAAAATCTTTCCTAATACAAGGAGCTGCTGAAGGAAGACACCACTGCACACAGAACGGACCATGCATGTAATTTATCTTTTGGGTTTTTCACCTTGTAAAGGTTGATCATGTAGTTGCAGGGGCAATTTTTGTGGGAACTGGACTTCAGTGACAGAGGGTTGAGTCAAGGAATGTATCTCACTTCAGGACTTTTGGTTCATTTGTGAAAAACCGGGAAACAAGCACAGAGCAGAAGGAATCTGTAGTAGTCTTTAAGGTAGATGATACAAACTGGCCCTACCTCTTTGGCTGCCATCCAGTGGTGTGTCTCCAGACAGACCCTCTCGATCAGCATAAGTCTTGTTCAGGCAGAACTGGAACATGCCACGTATTTATGCAGGATTTCACTTTGGGAGACACATAGCTTGGTGGGACACTACATGTCAGAAGCACAGTGGTCTGGTCTAGGAAAAAATGATGAATTCATCCAGGAGGACAGAAATGCCAAGAAAATGCACACATAGAGTCATTGTTAGAATATTTTAAGAATTATATATTATATTGTTATACAGTGATACTTTAATGGGAAATTGAGTTGCCTTTTCTCTCTGTTTGCCTTTGGGCACTGATAAGCAAAGTAATGATATTAAGAATAACAAAGTTGGTGTTATTGGCAAATACTTTAGTGGGAACAAGCTGAGAGCATTGTAGCGTGGCACCATTCATTTGGCAACATAAAAATGTAAAATGACCCAAATATAAGAAGGCAGTAAATTGTTACCTAAAGCTTTTTGTGGGGAAGGGACAGATTGATTTCAGAAGTTTTGTGGAAGGAACACAACTCATGCCAAAAAATATGAATGAAAGTCAGAGGAAATATGAAGCAGGTGTGGTCATGCTGAATGCAGGTTGCTCTTCAGTTATCCAGGCTTCTGAGCTGACCAGCGTGGGCTGGAATTCCCCCCTTTTGTGTTCTGATAAAGTAGCATTATTGCATGTGACTAAAGGTCTTTGAAGATGAGCAAACTAACATGGCTTTGTCAAAACAAGCTTGGAAATAACGGTACAATACTTGTCAGTCATAACTTTTATTAGAGGCTTTTTGGAGGAGAAAATATGGTGTTTTACAAGGTCTGTTCCTGGAGATCGTGGATCAATCCCACCAAATCATGCATTGCTTCATGTCCAGACTTCCTCTGAAGGTGCCTGGTATTGAACAAGCATGGTAAGAGGGCTAAAACTGTAAGAAAGAAGGGGCACGCAGAGATGTAACAGTGAGTGTACTGAGGAGGAACATAGAGGGAGCTTTATGACTCCAGAGGGGTAGGAGAAAGGGTGGGTGCCAAGAGCCCTCTGCAAAGTAATAACAATTGATGAAAATCATAAACTCCCTCCCCCACACACCTTCCATAGTGATGGGATGAAAGAGTGGAAACACAAGAGATCGTGACGCCCTGAAATGATGTTATCTCAGACAAGACAAGACAAGTCAGCAAATTTAATTATTTGCTGCTGTTTGGCCAGATGGCCTGGATTTGAATCAAAAATCCCTGCCCACCACATTTCTCGATAGGTCTGGATTCCAAACCTTTCACCTACCTTAAAATGCTTATGTTTTCAACATAAAGTGACGTACTTAAACTTTTATAGCTCCAGAAAAAAAAAGCAGAAATCAACAGTGCAAGAAGGAGGCAGCGATTTTCCTTCTGTTACAAGAAAGCAAATGAAAAGCATGCACTGAGGTGAGTTATCTAATACAGCTTTGGACATCAGGATCTATCTCCAGGGCAAATGATTCAGCCCTGCATTCTGAGAAGACAAAAGCTCTGGCCTTGAGATGGGAACCAGATTTCCACAACCTTGTAAGAGATCCCAAGGAGGCTGCTCCATGAAAAAACTCATACAGTTGCTGACCTTAGCTAGTTTCTGGCCCCTCAGGAAAGGAAACCTGTTTTAAGGTATTGATAATGGATAAAAAGCCAAGGTACCAAGCACAGAAGTTTGGAGAACCCCATACCTGTAATATAAGCATTGCAACACCTGAATATCAGGATTCCAACTCTCTTTTAATCATACTCAAAAGAATTTCTTCAGAAAAGAAGGTATTGCAGAGCACATATATTTTCGTGAATGTAATTACAGAGAAAACAAGCCAAATACCCAGAGAAGATTCCCATATATCTGTGGTCTAGGATTATTGCCGATGTTCTTATTCTTCATTATTATCTCATTTCATTTAAACTAGTAATTGTATGAAGCTTACGCAATCAAACCTCATGCAAGCAGGACACGTGCACTTCAGTGAGAAATGTCTGAAAGAAAGGAAAGCCATTGGAGAGTCTGTCACAGGCGTGGTGACAGCAGGTGCATTGGGAGGGATGTGTCTTGCAGCATTTTACACGGGGCAGTGGACAAGAAGAGTCAATGACTGTAGCAGATAGTATTCCTAGAAACACTACTGGTTTCTGTGAAGTCATCTATAGTGACTCTGAAAATACCATACCTGTTATACAGAAATTTTGACAAAATGACGGGTTCCTCATTTTCAAGAGAAAAAGAGGCAACCTGAGCAAGCAAATAGAAGCACAACTGAAGTCTGTATAATCAGACCTGAGAGAGGAGAAGTAACTAACAACCAGGATCATGAGAGAGAAATTAAAATGCTAATTGGAGTCCAGTAAATCTGAGTGCAATAGCTGTCACTGACCACCGCTTAACCATAACCAAGATAAAAAAAAAAAGTCATGCAGGTTCCACTCAAGCGAGCCCTCCTCCATTTGAGCACCTTAACACAACATTGCACTGAGTGATACCCTTACACCACAAGATCAAAAGCAACAGCATTTGACTCAGCATCACAAAATAGATGGCCAAAGTTTGATGGCTGACTATTGTGGTGTGGCTCCCTGCTCTCCATGACAAAAGTTTAGGAACTTGGTATTAACCTGCCAGCTAATATTCTGTTGCTTCAGCTAAACTGCTCCTGCCAAACTAAGCCCAAATGTAAATGGGATGACAGTTTACTCAACTTCTCTGTCTGCTTTTCACTTACTAACTAGCTTGCTAGAAATTGTTTTACCGTGGGTTGCTATACGCTTACAGGACTGAAGTTTCACGTAAAAGTACTTGAAAAATGTACCAGGACACAGGGAAAAGTTAATGGGTTGCCTTAAGATAAGCCTCATCCTTCAGACTCTGAAATATGTGGTCCTCTCCTCCCAAGACACAACACAACCTGCTGCTCCGTTGTCCGTGTGCAGCTGCCGGGCACACAGGCTCACCCCGGGGGTGTGTGTGCAGATGGAACGTGCCACGATTCACCTCCACACACCGGACGGCGGGAGCCCTGGGTTCTTGCATTTAACATTAATACAGAAAGCACGTTATAATTAGCGATAAATACTTTTCAGATCGGATTCTATTTTAACTTGAGAACAGCTTGTCGCTCTGACGATGTACTACAGCTTTCAGAAAAAGTAAATTGCTGCTGGAACAGGTGTAATTTGCTTCGGGTGGGACTTGCTTCGTTACGGGAAGCTGGAGCACCGTGCTCACGTACAGAGCACCAAAGCAGTGTGGTCCAAGTGCCTTCCCACGGTCGGATCCGGCCGGGGCGACGGAGCTATCCAGCTCGGCTTCTCCTGGCTCCCCAGGGGAAGCAGTCCCAGCCCTGCCCTGCTCTGGCCCGGACCGACCAGCGCTGGGGAGCGAGCGCCGCTTCCCGCGGGGGGCTCCCCACAGTGCTCGGGGCGCCCACGCGCCGTGACCAGGAGCCGCCCGCTCCCCGGCTGTCTCCTCGGGCACGGCTGCCCCGGTCGCGGGCCGCGGCTGGGGAAGGGGAAAGGGCCGGGCGGCGGGGGCGGGTGGGCCCGGCCCCCCCTGGGCCGCGCTGCCTCGTGGCGGGCGCGGCTCTTGCGCCGCCGCTCAGTGCGGGCAGGCGGGCGGCGCGCGCGGAGGGGCCGGCGCGCCGTGAGGGCGGGAGAGCGGAGCGCTGCCCCAGCATGCTGCGGAAGGTAAGCACCGCCAACGCGGGGCGAGGGGCCGCCGCCAGCACCCGGGAGCCCCCCGGGGGAGGCCAAGCTGGGCGGGGAGCGGGGGCAGCGGCGGGGGTGCCGGGGCCCCGCCAGGGGGCGCCGCGGCGCCGAACGGCCCCCGCGGGGCAGTTGCGCGGGTCGGGGCAGGCGGGTCGGGGCAGGCGGGTCGGGCGCGGAGCGAGGGGCGCGGCCCGAGGGGAGCGCCGGGGCCGGGCAAACTTTGCCTCCCCGGGCGGGCCGCGTTCCGGCCGGAGCTGCCGTGGATGCCGGCGGCCGAGAGCCGGGGCGCGGGGGGTCCCCGCAGGCCGGCGCCGCTGGCTGCGAAGGCGGCTGCAGCGGCGCGGGGCGAGAGCCGGAGCCACCCGGGGCTGCGGGCGGGAGCACCGGCCGTGCGGCGGGGCGGGCGGCCAGGGCTCCTCCTGCCGCTATTGTTCCCTGCGCGGCGGTGGAAGATCCCGTGGCTGCGAGATCTCTGGCACGGAGAGACTCGTGCCAAGGGAACAGCTCCATCCACACGAGGCAGGGGCGCCGGTGTTGCCGTGAGCAGGCGAACGCAAGGCTCTCATGGCTGGTGAAGGCATTGCTTAAAAGGTGTAGAAGAGTAACCTGAAGGTCTGAGGGTAGCGTGGCTACGCAATAGCCCCAAACACCACTTTGGAGCTGTAGCCGAGGGCTGTTACAGTCAGTAAAGATCCTTTCCCTGGCAATCCAGCTCCAATCACAATTTTCACTGCTCCTTCCAAAAGGCAAGCTTTCCCTCTAGGTGCACCTGGGCTGCATGCTGAAACTGGCTGTAGCAGGCAAGTGCTAGTGTAGAAGGCACGTTATCAGAAGAGCTGCTCAGGCGTCTTGTCCCACTGTTGTTCCTGTCTTGCTCCCTTTTTGTGTGATCTTTCCAAATTTTGTTGTTACACCCTTAGGCCCCTTAGCCTAAGTGTGTGATAGCTCAGACAACTGGAGTTGCAAGACATCTCTCAAAACTGATAATAAAACGCACGGTAAGTCTCTACCCTTGCTGCGTGGTGGACGAGGTCGTTGAGCCTGGAGTCCTCAAAGCTTTTGAGCCAATGATCTGGGCTCCTATGGCTGTGCTTGGTTTGGCGGAGCCTGAGCAACATAGAACAAACAAGATGATTTAAGATTTTTCTTTGTTCTGGGGAGGAACCCTTCCCTTAGCTGGACTCAGCCTGATATTGCTAATGCCTTTTACAAATATCCCAGAGCAGTATTTTACACATAGTGTTAATTATTATGTGCTTATTATACAATTTGGACAAGCTGGTTAAGAGAAAGTGATTAATTTTATCCTCTCATTGTGAATAATGTGGAACAAATGCTTTATTTGAATTTTACCTTCTTTCACTGCTCATCATACTCTTTCATTTACACGGAGTGGGAGTGTGGTGATGGTCAAGAGTTGAAATTAAGAGTTTATTGAAGGGCAGAATGACCTTGGGGATTGTGGATACAAGGTATTTGAGCCTTGTTTCTTTCTCATACCTAATTCTGGGGCTGCCTAGGGGCTGAATTGGAACTTGAGGGCTGGCTTACGCCGGCAGCCTATTTTGTGCTGCACGTTCATGAACCAGCCATTGCAGACTGACCTCTGTCTGAATTATGGGCCTCCTGTGCTAAATTCCTCTGCTGCACACAAGAATCAGAGCAGTGCCAAGGGAAGTTAAGCTAACTTTAGCTTAAAATTGATAAGGTGTTTACCTAAAAATTACGGATTACAAATCTTAGCACTAATGAAGGCTGCATGACGAATCATCTGAGAAAGGAAATCTTTTAGCAAATGGAGCAAGAAATAAAAAGAAACACAATTGCAGCCCTCACTTTGAGTCAGGAGTGCTTCAGTCCTACTTTAGGCATCCCATTGGACAGCATTCTGCACTGAGTTCATAGATCAAGTCCTTAGCATGTCTTGGAAAAACAGCAGTCGTGAGGTCAACCAAACAGTTAAAATTAATTTCATGTCATGGCTCTCTCGGGTGGAGTATGAAACCTCAGTGTTGATTGCTTTGTCTCCTCTTTATTCTTTGCTGTTACAGAGGATTTTCTAGCATTTCTGTCTTAGGAGTTCCTTTTTGGCTTTTTATTTGTTAGGAAGGGAAGATAAAGCAGGGAGGAAACCTCTGGTTTTATATTATTCTCCCTGTCATGTGATTTTTATGGCCAACAAGAAGAAGCTTAACATTTGAGATGCCTCTGATTTGCTGTCCATAAATGCAGTTTATGTTTCAGTGACTAATAAATAAATAAAAAATAGATAAATAAAGCTGGAGAGGACTGGGCCACTGAGATAAAAAGCTCAAGTTCTTGTGATGGGTCAAAATGGTTAAATCCACACTTTCCATTTGGATCAAATTTTACAGTGCCATCTGCACTCATAAAGAAGCAGTAAGTAAAAGAGTTGGTTTGGATGTCTCATAAACATCATAAAAACCTGGGGTTTGTTTCTGGAGATGTGAAATAATGTCCTTGTACTTTCTGTTGGAGGTGTACTGAATTTCAACTCTAATGTAGAGAAACTGGACCTGTGAGGATGGGTGGAATCAGTGAAATGTTAGAGCCCCGGGGGAGCTGCTGTTGTGTGTTTGAGGTGGGCTTTCCGTGAGCTGAGCCCTTGGCTCCTCAGGTGAGCTGATCTCTCCGAGGAACCTGCCTGCTCCCCATGCCTCAGTCACTGAAAGGGGATGAAGTCCTTCAGGTGCTGGTGACCTGAAGCCAGCAGGGGTATGCAGAGGCTGGCAGTCCTGTGGTTTCAAGAGTGACAAGATGCTCTGTGCAACCTCCTCTGCACTTTTGCGCATCAGCGCAGAAGCACATCTTAGGCAGACAATCCTCCTTGTGTTCCTCAGGTCCCTGCTGTAGTCCATGGAAGAAAGCAGAGCAGTTCAGGGTAAGTGAGATCTGGTGCTGTTTGCATCAGGGCTGTGCAGTATGGCAGAGAGACCACCACAGACAGGGAAGGATGGGCAGTAGCAGTGCTCTGCTAGCCTGCTGCTTTTGGGATTCTCTGCTGAGCCTGGAGCCTGGCTCAGCAGCTCTTACTGAGTGCCTGCCTCTGCCTACCACCCTTTTTGGCCCCTCCAGCTACATATGTCCAATGTGTTCTTCACAGAGGGAGAGCTTTCTGAAGTCATCTGAGCAGTAGTGGGGTCAATGGTTACTAATTATGCTAACACCATATTTGAGATGCTTTGTATGAGTTTCATCCTTCCAGAGTGCCCCCCTTTCTTGTCTCTACACACTCTTTTCGGACTTCAGAAACATGATGGCTGTGTCTACAGAGCCTCCTGGCCACCACTGCTTCTCCTTGCTCTTCAAGCCATTCGAAATAGTTTGAGAGAACATAGGCATTTCCAAATACTTTCTTACATGTAAGAACACCATTGTGTAGTATCTAGGTGCTGCACCTGGATGTGTAGCTAACACCAGCTGAGGTTGGTTCACTTGATTTCATTCCATGGGAAAGACCTGATTCTTTTTCTTCCATATGCCCCCTTCTTTTCACTCAGTTTCGTATTAGTAAGAAAATACTAATGCATGTAAATAAGCAGGAAGAAAATCCCTAAAGTTGTTTTCTTATTTTTTCATACCTCCTCCTTCCTGATCATTCAAATAAAATAGATTGGCATTGTAGTTAATGGAGATAAGCTGTGTATTAGACATTGCAGGAATGCAGTTACAGAGAGGACAGACTACCTTTCCAGGTAACAAATTGAAAGCCAGTTCTCCAAACCTCAGCAATCTCATCTCTTCAGACGTTTTTCTAGCTTCTGTTGCCAGATGACCTACCTGTTTTAATTGACTGTATTAGGAGCTAATTTATTTGATGTCAGCAATCTTTCACCAGATCACTGAAGTACATGTTAGATATAGATTCCCATTTGTGTTTGTTTTTATTATCTTTTTGAATACCAGCTCTGTGTGCCATGTTAATTTTCACTAGGATAAACAAATTCACATGTCAAATACTGCTGTGTTATTTCTTCAGGCAAGATGTACCAACACTTGGAAATTAATGAAAATCAAACATATCAGCAAGAAATTAGTATTTAGTGTTATTAGTATTAGTGTTTGAGCAGAATGAAAGCCTTATTTTTAACCAAGTTTTCATTGTCTGGTCTTGACGGGCAAAACTGCATATCCTGGGACAACTTGGGCTAATGGGAGTGGGTGTCACCATAGCTCTCCTGGGAAAAAATATGCGCTCTTTCGATATCTTTAATTGCTCAGATTGTCTTCAAATAGTATATAACACCATCAGTCAAAGACTAAATTTCAGGGTTGGGATAATAATGAGATTTTCTTTTTCAACTGTTTTAGAGGCTCCACTATTTTGACTACCCTCAGGGAATATAAAATGTGTTAGCAGTTAAATCCATGACAACAGATAACTTACTTAAGCATTAGCTTTAGCTGAGTTAACAGGCAGTCAATGTAACGGGCTGAGACACAGGCCACGCTGGCATGAGGAAACACTGAAGGCAGGCTGTGACTGGGGTGGGTTTAGGTGGATTTTACTGAATTTGTGGTGAATTTAGGTGCCTGCAGGTGTTTAAGCGCCTAAAAGATCACATGATGCTCAATTGAGGATTTCAGTGGGGCATGAGCTTTGATTTTGAAGGACTGAAGGGGATTTCCTGCCTTTACCTCAAGCACTCCTATTTGCTAAGGAGTTCAGCTTTCCTATCGCTGCTTCTACTGGTTTTTTTTTTTCTGTGATTCAACCAATTAGCAGTAGGATCCATCTCTGCCAACAATGTCTATGATGCAAATATGGACCAAAATTAAGTAGAAATTTTCCAGTGCTTGAAAAGGCTTGAAAATAGCAAGAGTATAAAGGGGACCAAGGCAGTGAAGCTGAGACTTCAGGCTCAGTGGGGATGTGTGCTGTGGCAGGCAATAGATGATGGAAGGTTAATTCATTCTGGTCAGCAATGTAAATTAGGATGTTTAAAAGACAAGGTGGAATTTTTGCAGTTTTGTGGGTCTTAAATTGGAAGTGTCATTGTGGTATAAAGAAATGTCAGTGGGATTTCTTAAATATATCTACCATCTATTTAAAATCTCTGTCCTAAAATTTATTTTCTTGAGATTCTAGGGTAAATTTCTTTTGAGATTGGACAATAAGGAATCAAAATGCAATAGAAAGTCAGCAAGTTTTATGTATCGAAGTCCCTGAGTTCACTTTCCAAAATGGCATTTAAATGGCTGATGTGCTTTCAATTGTCTTTCTTACTGGTCATATTTTTATATGCCACCTCTGTTGGTAAGCAGAGAGGAGAGCAAGGCATAAATGACATGGGGAGGAAGAATCAGAGAGTGACTAATTATTCACTGTCCCAAGAACTGGGGCCAAATGAAACCAACAAGTCCCACCAGTTTAGGGCAGAAGGATGGGCTCCTCTTTTAGCTGTGAGATTCCTGGCCTTCCTGGCCATTGGGTGTTGGGGAGAGCATGAGTTTCCATGGATTCAAATTCAGGGAGAATACTTGAAAAGCCCCTGAGGACTGCTGGCAAATTAACACT